ACAAATCTGAACGTGAAATCAATAAATGATGCTCTCAAATTGAAAGACCACGCTCTTGAATAAAGATAGGGAATAACCTCCATAATACTATAGCGTTTCATTATCATCATTATCTATCTATCTATTATTATCATTATAGAGGCTTGCTTGCAACATCCGGGTATTTCTGCATGTTAACGATACCGTTGTAAACTGTCACGTTCTACAAGGAGAAATATTGAAGACTAGAAACAAGTAAACAGCTGGCAGAATTTTGACATTTTGATAAAAAAAGTCAGAATTTTTTGAAAAGTCCGAATTTTTGACATTTGGGGAAAAATACAGAATTTTGAAAATAATAAACATTTTGCAAATTTAGAAAACATTTTAAAGAGAAAATTCTCTTTTTGGAAAAAGTCAGAATTTTGCAATTTTTGAAAAAGTCAGAATTTTGCAATTTTGGAAAATAGTAAACATTTTCAAACATTTCACAACAAGTCAACATTTAAAAAAAAAAAAAGACAAAATGTTCTTTTAGTTACTCATCAGAGAAAAATGCAGGGCGTGTCAGAAACCGCTCTACACAACGTGTGACTGTTTTTCTGTCTAACTCTTAGTCTGAATCAGGGAGGTGAGGGAGAATCTGGCAGAATGCCAGCTACATCCTGTAAGGGCGTTTTCCACATGTATTTTTACTCTCTGGGTGTGAAGGCGTCCTCAGATCAGATGCAGGCAGACTCAGTATGAAGAGGAAGAAATTAGCAGTGTTCTGTGAGTAGACCTGAAGAGAGTCTGTGAGTAGACCTGAAGAGAGTTGTGAGTGGACCTGAAGAGAGTCTGTGAGTGGACCTGAAGAGCGTCTGTGAGTAGACCTGAAGAGAGTCTGTGAGTGGACCTGAAGAGAGTCTGTGAGTGGACCTGAAGAGAGTCTGTGAGTAGACCTGAAGAGAGTCTGTGAGTGGACCTGAAGAGAGTCTGTGAGTAGACTGAAGAGAGTTGTGAGTGGACCTGAAGAGGTCTGTGAGTGGACCTGAAGAGTCTGTGAGTAGACCTGAAGAGAGTCTGTGAGTGGACCTGAAGAGAGTCTGTGAGTAGACCTGAAGAGAGTCTGTGAGTGGACCTGAAGAGAGTCTGTGAGTGGACCTGAAGAGAGTCTGTGAGTGGACCTGAAGAGCGTTCAGCAGGTGAGTATCCTCCCACAGGAATCTGTTTCTGAGTCACTGTTTACCTGAGTCAATGTTTACCTGGACAGAATCACTGTTAACCTGGACAGAGTCAATGTTTACCTGGACAGGACACATGTTCTTCGATGCTGATTCTAAACATCAGTCTGAAATATTGTGTAGGGTTTCTCTCTGAGTGAAAGCAGAATGGGTTTAGAAAGATCTCCATGTACTGTTCTCAGTGTTTCAGAGTAGAGAATGAGTTGCAGTCTGATTGTTCTCTTGAGTTCTCTTCATCAGAGCAAAATGCAGGGCGTGTCAACCCGCTCTAACAACGTGTGACTGTTTTTCTGTTTAATCTTAACACTCTGATAAGGGAAGGGGTGTGAAGGGCCCGTCTTCCAACACTGACCTGGTTCACTGAAGAGCCTTGAAAATGTCAAATGTTTAGATTATTCATCTGGGAATAGATCAGACAAATACAAAAATAGTTTAATGTTTGGTTGGAACAAATACGTCTAAGTGGGTTATACAACACATTAGCATGAACAGTAATGTTCATGTTGCAATGATATATCAAATATCATTTCTCCTCAGTTCACAGAAGACCTGTTTTAATTAAAGTCCGGAACATGTATTAACAGACCGGCGGCAGACATACATCTGTGGGCGGGCATTGATTGACAGGGCGGGCCCATCCCCCGATCACCAGGCCCCACACCATCTTAACGTAACATCAGTGTTCGAATTACCCATTTGCTTTCGGGGGAGCCCTATTTTTTAGTGCACATCCTGCTACTAAATATGTCACACGCACGCTCTGTTGACTGGCGCAGCAGCGGATGCGATCAATTGCTATAAAAACACTCTGCTTCTACTACAGACGGTATTACTGCCAAAGCACAATAACATTTCAGAGAGATATAAATAACAACATGAGGCTACCGTTTCAAAACCAATTGATAGCTATTAGCCAACATTTATTTATTGCAACAAACAAAGCAACGACATCAGCTGTGTTGGGGACACATGGGCAAGTCGTTTTTCAGATGTGTATAGGCTATATAACATAGGCACGGCGGGCCTCAGAATTTAAATGAGTTGAAATTAATCCAAGAAAATAATGAGACTAGCTATCCAAACCAATGATTTATTATTGAGCAACAACCAATGAATGGAAATGTTAATAATACCACACACCACACATGTAGGCCTAATCCAACAGTCTATGGAATTCAAACTTCCACGTAATTCAAAACTTTATTAATTGTAATTTTGTATGTGTGCATGACATGTGTGTCATAGCCTCATATTTTCAGCAGAAGCAGAAGGGAAGGAAGGGCTTCTTTAGGACCAGCCTGGAAAGGCCTATACTCAGAGTCAACAGCTTTGTCCTAGCTTTTCCCTGTCACTCCCCTCTGGGTGGATTGTTACAATGGAGGGAAAA